ATTCGTCGCATTTTAAATTTGAAGGGGTGATTTCAGGAAAAAATTTCACTAGGAAACCATGGAGCCACTTTTAGAACCCCAAAGTTTTGAATTACCGGAGTTATAAGCGTTTAAGGTTTCCAAATTTTGTCCGACCTCTTCTATCGACACGATCAACTGGACGTATTTCTATCAAATAGAACTATGTGCATTATCACGCGAGCCCTGTCATGCACATATTCTTATGGGTCTTAGGGCTCATGTCTTAATCTGTCGTGCTAAGGAAAAACGACGTGTGAACAATCGAGAGTTGCCAAATTTCCTTCGACAAAATTATTCTTTTTGAAGAAAGCTATGGATATTTTTCCTTGGAATTTTCAGGAAATATAGGCGAAATCGCGAACAAAATTATCCGAAAAATTGGAGGAAAAACGTTCACAAAATTTCTCGAAAATCCTTGATTCATAAGAAGAAATTTGTCAACGCCTGGAGGCTTATGTGGCGTTCTTCCTCAGCACGGCAGAAATGCACGCGGTTGCGTTTGGCAGAGATCCGTGCAACTGTGCGGCGGAGGCCTCGTCGCGGGTCCGGTGGGAGGCTGGGGCTGAAGCGGCGCTGGCGCTCGCGGATTAGGCGTCGGCGCAGGCGCAGTGGCGAGCGGCGGAGCGCGGCGCAGGCGCAGGCCGAGGGCGGGTGTGCGCGGCGCGGTGCGCGGCGGACTCGTCTTGGTCGGGCGAGAAGAATGAGCCTGAGAATCGGTGGCGGCCTGGCGGGTCGAAATGAGGAATGAGGCGGCGTGACCCAGTGCCGGGGCCCGCGCTCCGGCTCGGGGTCGCGTCTGGGTCTGGATACGGCCGTGGTCGCGCCGACCACTTGTAAAACCAGAAACCAGCTTTCACTGCGAGCACTAACACACAGACTCCCGATTCCGACTCGCTCTAACCCGCTCCCCCCCTCCCCGGTTCGGAGATCCCCACCCGCTAGCGACCAAATTTCCGGACGCCGATGAGACGACGCCGACGACGACGACGACGGTCTGGGGGGACGTCCCCCCCCAGCCGCCCCGACGTCGGGGAATTCCCGGGAAACGTGGACGCCCCTGGATTTTTCACGATCAAAGTTACCTCATCCGCAGCGTCGGCCACCGAGACCAATCGCAGGCTTACTGTAATCGAGTTAATAGACAAAGAAGAAATAGAGAGAGTACAGAGCCACCCTATTGCTTGAAAAGAGATCATTTGGATTGCATTTTGCAAAAAAGAACCGAGAGCATTCCGATATCGCTAGATTAGGCAGCTTTTTTTACCTTGCAAAAATAAACTGATCATCCAAACAAGTTTTATCTTTACTTCCAAAAAGCTTCCAATTCAAGACGTATGTAATTTCAAGTTTTCGCATGATTTCAGTAGTTTCTTTGCAAAGAATTCAAGTTGCACAATCCTGGCAACATTGGAATGCTCTTGGTTCTTTAGGCAAAGTGCAATCCATTTCATCTTTCCTGTAGACAATGGGAGAAAATGATGGACTAACCATAAGGTCTCCGGTGGGTTGCCGTTAGTTAGTCTATTACCTACCCCCTTTGTCCATTGCAATCGCTCGCTTCCGCCAATAGGATCCCTCCGATACCTACCCCTTTCGTCTTCTTTGTCCATCAATTTCAATAATCGGTCGGCAGGACATTCTGTTGGTTTTTCAGCGATCGGTGCAAGATTTTCCTTTCGGGCGTGATGTCTAGAATTCTTGATTGTGCTTATTCCCTAACGCGAATTCCAAGTATTCCTTCTACTTCTACGGGATTTTCTTGGAGAAAAGTATATACGTCCCCGTAGTTTCAGATATGAGCATCGAATTTTTTTCACTTTCCAATCGATTCTTTAGCGTATATTCAAATTTTTGGTGGAAGAAGAGATTCCGGTTTTCTGGTTTTCCGGATTTTCTCTGAAGCTCTTCACTCCCTGATGAATCCCGGGTTTTCGAGATCCTAAAGGCCATGCTTTCGGGGTTCCATCGTTCGAGGGTTGACCTACCGTCTTATTGGCGGTTGAACGCGGCGAGGAGTCCTACATGACGGACAGTCCGATCACGTGGTCTGAGAAAAAAATTTGCCGGATTCTGATGAGCCGTGGACAGCCGGGGATTGTCCGATGCCAACATCGGCATCGGACTCGACGAAGGCCAGCCGAAAGGAAACGAATACACGGAATACACACTTCCGGAGTAAACTTATCGGCCGTGCTGCTAATCCCCAAGCTCAACAACCAACGAGAAGGCGTGCTGCGCCCGTTGCTGCTGTAGGGTGTCTGCTAAAACTGGATGGCAAAAATCAGTGCTTTGCCAGCACTTTTCCAGTACTATCCCATGAAGTTCAGGACCTCCTCGACAGAAATATTCAGTACTTTCTCGGTATCTTTACGGGAAAAAATACGCAAAAGTTCAAAATTCACGCGCAACACGCGGAAAAAAACAATTGCGTAATCATGAAAGTTGAAGCTCATTGGAGGCCTTAAGAAACACTGGCTGCACAGACGCGATTTAGCAGGGAAATACTGAGCACACTAAGAATCAATGCGCAAGGGACGGCATGATTTCCAGGCATGTGCGAAACGAGGCGAGGAATTCCGTACCCTCGAGCAGAATTTCCGTACTTTTTCAGTACTTCGGGACTGCCTCTAAAAACATCATTGCTATGTCCTGACTTTCCAGATTTTCCGGACCAGTAGACACCCTGTTGCTGCATTGATATCCAAAAGAAAATGCTAATGTAGTCACCAGAAGGAAGCAAATCATTTCACCTGTCGCAAAAAGACTAGTGTAGGATCTCTATTGGACTCTGGACGACGCGTTACGTGAATTTACTTAGAGTCTGCGATAGCTTCACAGGCTCTCGGTGGCAGGAAGAAGATGAGGCCCGATTGTTGGCAATTCAACATTTCTACTAGTGTTAAGCTGTTGAAGGGTCCACCTCTGCACTTAATCGAATTATCCACGCAGGGATAACGCTGAACACATAAACAGGAGTTAGCACTCATCGTAAGGCGTGAGGACTTCAAAAGGTCAAGCAGGTAATATTTACCCCGCATTTTGGGCAACCTCGATGAGTTTGAGGTTCCTTCGCCTTATTTTAGGACCCAAGTTGATCTCTGATTATCTCCGAATCAGCTTGCGAGTGCTCAGGAAGGTGCCATTGAAAATTTAGAAATATTTCTAGTGAAGTTTCCCTGCACTTTTCCGAAGGGGCCAAAATGTTGAGTCCAAGACGAGGAGTTTGAGAGTGTGACCCACTCTAAAAGAGGCCACAACGAGAGCCAATCGATACTGATATCGAAACTGCACTCGAATGCGATATTTTTCCTCTGAAAAACCCTGCCTTCGATACGTTGAATTTCGTTATCAAATTTGGTACATGAATTCTTTAATCTCATGACAACGGAAGTGCGATCTCAAATTTCGAAAAAAA